AAAAAAAGCTTATTTTTTTTTCCCTCTTTTTATTCAATTATTAGGAAAATGTCAAGATGACTTGTATTTAATAGTGAGCATGATACAAAGAACTTGCTGTTGTGCACCTATCCTTAAGTGAGAGCGCGARAGGATGCAGATCTGGAAATGACACTTTGATTCTGTGCTTGATAAGAAAGCATGTGGAAAATAGGACTTCTGTGTTTGGTTCTGGCCTGCGCGCTTGCCCCCTGTGTTAGTGTGACACTGCATTAGTGTGACAGTGCCTCATAGCTGCACCTTGGGACATATCTGAGTTGCACGTGGGCCGGTGCTTGGCTGGGACTGGTGGCTTTATGTCCATCTGCCTTCCTTGGTGAGGAAGGTGCTGCCTCTTCTGAGGCACTTGGCTTGTCGCTGATCCAGCACTTGCGCCAGAGGATCCTGAGGCTCACGGAGGGTATGCCAGCAGCTGGGATCGCTTCTGGTGTGCTGGAGGCTTTGTTTCTGTGACGTTCTGCAGCCRTTCTCTTAATAGTTGCCTTCGCATGCCAAAATTGTTGGCGCTGATTTCCTCAAAAACTGTGTCCAAACTGTGTCTGAAAGTCCAAGTAGCAAAGTTTGTTTTTTTGGGAGACAGTTGCTTTGCACGAATTGCAGGTATTTGAATGTTTATACTCCTTTGCTTTCCATGTATTGCTTTCCAGTATTGCTTCCCAGGAGCTCTGTGCTGTTGAATGCAAAGCCCTGTTTCCTATTGACTTATATTGCTGGGAAGATCTTTTGAAAGGCCCTTTCAGTTTTATTTTTAGTTAAAATTTTATACAGGATTGGTGAGAGCAAGCATTAAATTTGGAGAGGCTCATACCCATGGCCTAAAACCATAATGTTTTACCACAGTCTTGTTGTATCAGAGAGAATCTGATACTGCCACCTTCTATTTATTTCTCAAATCGGAATGCTTATCTCTGGTTGTTAATAACTGCTTTATTCTTGTTCTCTTTCCAAGCCAAGGGGGCTTGACTTGTGCTGGGAAAGCCAAAGCTTGGAGATGGGCTGTGCAGTTTGCCCACATGTTTTCCTGACTTTGGCTTAGAGTTTTTTACTTGGAGAAGAGGACCTTTTCTCCAGGAAAGAAGGCCAAGTTTTGGTTTGCATTTTAAAAATGGTTTCACTCTCATTCAGATATTAAATATGTCTTGCCACGTTTGTGTATGTACAAAACACAATGCTCCCAAATGTCCCATCATGTAAGACATGGCTTAATTTGTGCTTTTAACATGACTGGGCTTTCRGTGCCCGTCCCATCCAGAAGAGAGCTGCAGATGCTGCCGCCTTTSCCGTTGTTACTGTGTCAGCAGGCAGCTGCGGACACACTTGCCTCGCGGACGGGCTCCTTTCCCGCGCGTGTGACGCTCTGTACGGCCTCAGTSTCACGTGCCCCGTTATGTGCCCGGGTGCTGCCGCTCTGAGGCACAGGGCTCTGCGGGAGGCCCTATTCACTTGGGTTCCTTCTTGTACTTTTCATTAGGGGAACATGTTAAAAATGTAAAACCACAATTTGATAATCTCCCGAGAATAGATTATGCACTAATCTGGGTTTGTTTTCAACCATTTTCCATGTAAAATATATACACGGRCTCAGACCGAATAAACCCAGATCGCTGTTTGAATGAGTTATTAAAGCATTTTTTCTTCATTATGAATTTTATCTATCTTGTATTTTGAAAAGCTTTGTGAAATTTCCACAAAATCTCTTATTTGTTCTCCATATTATGTTGCAGATCCTTTTGTCCATTTTTAATGAGTTTTTAACTGCTGGGCTTGTGAACTTTGGCATGAGGCCGGGGCCTGGGCAGTTTGCAGGGTGACTGGGTATCCCTGTGGTGAGGTCTCATGCAAACTAGCATGGCTCTATTAATTATTTTCTGTCTTTATCACCAGCAAATAATTTTTAACCCAGTCACAGAATAGTGTGGCRTAACCCGTTGGGGGTGAAACCTACCGTTTGCCTGGATGGTTTTTAGAAGTCCCGGTGAACATGTTGTGTCAGAAAAGAAGCAATTTGACTGCATTTTGACCCACCTATAAACCCACAACTGAAGCCTTCAGGACAGTGTATGTCAGGATATATGACAAATCTTCAGCATGTGAGGGATTTGCACTTTAAACTATGATTGCAGAGGAGTCTGCAAAGCTTCTTAGAGTTATGTTTTTTGGCTGCAGCTGCGGGCTTTGCTGGAGAAGGTCCCAGCGAGGCGGCCGGTGAGGCCACGTGCGGCTCCGGACTCCCTCTGGGCTGGCCCTGGCCGTGCTGCACGGCCCTGGCTGCAGAGCTGCACCAGGGACACGAGTGCTCCGCTTGTGAGCAGGGCAGTGATCTCCTGTGGGGCTCGGGCTCCTCTCCTGCCCCTCTCTCAGTGCTGCCAGCCCTGCTCGTGTCTCATCCTGCTGTGAGCCACTTGAGGGCATTAGAGCAGCAGGAAATTAATACTGCGGCTTTCCCCGCTGTGCCGGGCTGGCTGCCCGACCCGGCCGGCCTCCAAGCCACGGGAAGCAGGAGCCGGGGCGGGCAGGGGGCTGTGCAGGGCAGGGGGCAGAGACGCGGGGGCTGCTCCTCGGCAGCGCAGCAGCCTGAAGCTTCCGTGCCCGCACACACGTGGCCTGGGCTCTGTGGCCGTTACGTGACACGTGTGTAGGGGGGCGGGCAGTCTGGGATCTTTCCGAATAAGCAGCACTGGGAATGTTACGTTTCTGTGCATCCCATGTCCTCATCTCCTGTTTGCTCTTTAAAACGCTATCATGGCTGTTTTGGGCTATTTTAAATATGAATTCTGAAGCTTTTGAACGGTTTCAAGGTGACCTTGATTGTTTGGAGAAGCCTTTTCTGGTCTTGAAGAGTGCATCAGAAACCATTAGAATTTCACTTTTAAAATGTTATTTTCTTTTTCATCTGAGATGGTTATAATCCTTGTCAGTGCCTCCTATGAGAGAAATTCCTTCACTACAGCTTTTTYTATTCTTCATCTAAATTATAATGACACGCTTAGCCAGTAAAACATCGTGCATAATCTGTTCTATTAAGCACTAATAGAGTAGMTGGATCTTGGTAAATAAACTTTTCTCAAATAAATCTAGAGACTCTTTCATTACACTTYGGAGTGTCCAAATAACTGTCCTTAATATATGGATCTGCTTTCAGAAAAAATCAAGGGAGTTCTCAGGGCTTAGCCTCAAAGTGTTCTGATTCCATAGAAGTTTGTCTTAATTGCCCTGAAGTAGATGTTCATTTTGTGTGTTTAAGTTTTTCTTACTTTTCAACCTGTGTGCCTATTACAGCTTGTGATGGGAATCTTGTCAGGGCTGAATTGGGAAATGAATCCACCTCGAGATCCCATCGTCCTGTATTTGGCTGTCAACTCTAAGATTGAGTCTGCTGGGGCCATCGCAGGTCACAGTGGAGTCCATGTCCCTTGAGGGAAGGCAGCAACCAGGCAGGGTGGAATTCCTGCTTCCTCTGTGCTCCTTGCGGCTCCAAGGCTTCTCTCCTGGTTGCTGGATCACAGGGAGTGCGATAGTGGAAGTGCCTGCTTGTGCTTTTTGCCTAACACTATCCTTTCTTTCCTATTTCTGATGCTTAACATGATTGCTGCTGCAGCTACTGTCATTCCTTTATTTTGCAAGTTAAAAATAAATCAAATATTTTTAGCATGTGGAAAATAGTTGATTGAAAAAAGGCRAATGCTGAGCAATGTACCATTCCTTTGCTGTAAGGAAAGGAAGGGAGGCTGTATCCTCTGTCCCTGGTGAGCTGCTAGGCTGCTGGGTCATCTCGAGAGACCTGTGCCTTGAGGATGTGAAAAATCAAACTGTTGAGTGATGATTGCAGCCTTGCACAGCTGTCAGCATTCACCATTTCTCCTCTTCCATCCTGTTAATTAGGTCTGGAAGTGTTTTGAGAGAGTCTTGATGCTGTCGCTTTCCTTTTGGGAATGATGTCTTTTGTCTTCTAGCAGTGCTTTGCTTGGCCGGTGTTTATGGGGATGATGCTCATATTGCCCCTGCCTCGCTGGTTCTAACACTTCAGAAGAGTAGCGTCTATCAAGATTGAAATCTTGATCTCAGAGCAGCAGATCTGGCTAAAAGAAGCTCTATCCATGCATCTATACACACACTGAAAAAATACATATGTRTATATATATGTGTATATATACCCATAAAAGACTTTGGGTGATGATCAAAAAACAACTTTGGCAGACTTGCTGATTGATGTGGGAAAAAGCTGTAGAGGCTGATGGGGTTGCAAATAACGAGCTGGCACTGCAAGTTTCTGTTCTTCTGAGTAGTGCTGTCTCTTCCAGAAGATAAGCACAAATGTCAAAGCTAACTTGCTACTGAGGTTGGAGCCAGTTGTGATCTGTTGTTAGGAACTGAAGTGAGCCATAAGGCTCTGTACGTGGTTTTCTGTAAATACTGGGGTATTAAAACTTACACTAAAAATGAAGCARTGTGATAAATGGAACTGAAATCTTTCTTAGGAATCTCTTTTGGAATGAGTAGCTTTCCTTCTGTTTGACTTTTCATGTCTGTACAATGGGGGTAACATATTTGTATGGCCATAAAGATGAGGTGCTGTAAGCAGTAGTCTCCTAGCCTGTCCATGAAGAGATTGTGTTTGGACAGAGGTTTTTTGTTTATGTTATGTATTTTCAATGAAATAAAATGTCAAATTAAGTTGCATTTCATAAACCTTCCCATTTGACAAAGTATATATGCAAACTTCTCTGGGACACCAACAACTGAAACCTAAGGCAGACAAACATGTATGTAAATGATTGAAAATGGCTTGACGTTACTTGATTTTTTCATTTTCCTGTTGACTATTAACTTTTGTTTTAACAACAAAATGTTTTTCATTGCATTACACTATAAGAAGTGAAAGGAAAAGCTTTCTAGAAGAGGGAGCTGGGGACAGCTGCCGTGTACAAGGAGGCTGATCCTCTCCCGGGCCTGTTTTGCAGAAGTACCGCTACCAGGATGAGGACACGCCGCCCCAGGAGCACAGCTCCCCRCACATGGGCAATGAGGTGACGGGTCCCGAGCTTGTTCACGTGTCTGAGAAGAACCTGTCGCAGATCGAGAATGTACATGGATTTGTTTCTCACTCTCATATTTCACCAGTAAAGGTAGGCYTTTYTTTTTTGTATCTACTATGACAACATAGTTTGTGGAAGAAACTTGTAGCAGATGCGTTTACTTCTATTTTTACAGAATGGTTCCTTTGTAAAATCCACTTTGCAGGTGTTCAAGCTTTTGATGAAGTTCTGTACAGGGTTCATGGCAAAAAAATGTACATCACATAAGCACTCAGATAACAAATCTAGGTAGTGGAAAGGTCTTGGATGCGATTGTGTTTGGGCACTGCTGTTGTTGTTCAGCAGGGTTTCGGGGTTTCTAAAAGGATCTAGTATAACTAGTTCCAAATTTGCTTTTAGCAAATATTTTACTTGAGCATCTATAGGAAAAGTGTGATAAAGTAAATATTAAATATCTCTTCAGGCGTGAAGCATATTGGGCTGTATCCTGAAAAACAGAAACCTTAAGACTGTTTCAAAAACTTAGTGGCCACAACGTGTGAAGCTCTGGGGGTTGTGACAGGCAGGTCTCGTGATGCTGGGTCCAAGAACGAAGTTCCATGAATTGGTCTGAGATTTGGTAGTTGAGCAGGGCCTGCTGCTGCCTTGGGCTGTTCCTCATGAGCGAAATCTGCAGTGTAAAGTAACAGTGCAACAGGACTGTACGAATAAGTTGCCCTGAACTTAAAGTTTTCGGAAGATCTTGATTGTAAAGGAAGAACTTTAGGCATGTACTAACTGTTTGTAAGTGAGCTTGTAAGTCCTCTATAGAGGAACAGATTGGATGGTTGTTTGATAATCTTTGTTCTAGCTTTCTCAGGATTTAAAAAATGCTCGTGTTGGTATTGAACATGCTGCTTTTTTCTTTGTTTTTAACCTTTCTAATATTGAAAAAGACACCCATCTGTCAGACTGAAATGCCTTTCAGCTCATAAAGTTTCTTCTGTCTAGGGAATAATTTGCTAAGTGTTGGAATAAATGCAGTTAGAAATTGGTCCTGAATATACTAGAGATACCCAAGGTTCCTCTATTACAGTTAGTATCACTGGTCATCTCTTCCTTTTGGCCTAACAATCTGCGAGAGATTTCTGCATGTTTTTTGGCATTAGTTGAAAATATATTTAGGAACAGTAGCTCTGGGTGGGCTTCTTACACTGTGTTTTGAGCTCTGTTGATGGACAAGATCTTGATTAGCTATATTCACTCTTAGATTTCCATAAGGAAACTAGRTGTCTTACACTTCTCTGTATTTTAGTACCCTAACCCTAAAAAAAAGTGTCTTTGGGGAAATTGTTTTGTAAAACAGCAGTACTAAATGCATCTGTAGCTTTGGGTACAGAGTTAAGAACAGACATAAATGCAAATCCTGCTTTATGGTTGTATGCAGTTTTTTAAAAGTGCTGTAGAGGGCAGCAGAAACAGCCTTTCTGGTGCTCTCGTAGAGGTCCTTGATGGTGTAGAACAAAAATGCAGAATAGGAGTGGCCTTGGTCATAAGCAGAGATGCCTCTTAGTCCCTGGTCTAGGTTTTGTCCTTACGGGAAAAGCATCCAGTGTCATGCACCTTAAATCAGCTTTTGCAGCTTGCTTCGATTCTAGCGTGATTCTCGAAGAGCAGCTTCCAGTTACTAAGAGGACGAGTACATGTCCATTCCCTATAAATTAGGGATATGTAGATATATTTCYGTTTATCACGGTGTAGATGAAGTATCCAGTAACTGATGGTAGTTGACCCTTTTGACAGAGGGCAAGAGCTGTGTAACCTGGCATCAGAGAAGCAGATCCGACCTGGGAGGATCCTTGTCCTCCGTTTCCCGCTTAGCATTGTGGTATGGAGCAGTTCTGTGACCAGTGTGGGAATGTTGAATGGGAGAGAATCCTCCAGAGAGTGAAAGTATCGAAGCCGCAAATCCCTCCTTGCTACTTTGTTGTGCACACTTAGGGGGATGTTTCCAGGCAGGCAGGCTGCTAGTTCCAGCTGTGCTGTAGTGGAAAGTGTGAGATTCTCCCGTGGGAATTTTGCCATCCCAGCGCGGGGCAGCCCYGGTTACTGGGACACGTAGGACAGTGCTGGGTGCCCGTCCAGCAGACAGGGCTGGCAAGAGGGGCCACCAGCTGGGCCTGCAGGAAGGGCTCCTYACTCCAGCTGTGCCACTGAGTGTCGCTTGCTGCCCTACCTTCAGATTGGCCTCTTTCAGTTTAGCGTTTGTTTTAATTGAATAGCTCTGAGCTGAATCTTTGGTAGATAGGATGCCCTGTAAGTTCCTAACTGTGAAGTGGAAGCTGGAGTTTCCTATCGAGGTGACAAGTCTAGAGGAAAAGCTATTACATGGTTTTAAAGTGACAGGTCATGCCTGTCAGAGGGAACATGATGAAAAATATCTGTCCTAAATTGCAGTGTGCCTCATGTAAAGTATTTTTCATGTCATGCACAAGTTGCACTGTTTGTTATTCTCTATTAAGATGTAGCAAGGCAATTCAGTATTAAATATTTAAGTTGAGAGCTTGATTGGGACTATAGTATGTTTCTCTGCTATATTTGTACATTGCGTGTGATTATTTGAGGCTATTATGTTTATTTTCACCTGTAATACAGCAGCTCCATTTTAAAGTGAAAATATAATATATAAGCTACAAAGTCAGGCACTTGAGAGACATAGCATGACTGATGTAATAAATGTTCATCTTTATCCTTTGAGATAAAGATGCTCTCTGATAAACTCTTACTATTACAATATTGATTTCAGTTTCTTTATATCTATTTCCTACCCAAAATGTGCCGGAGCCTGCTTCTTGGAGAAGCTCAGAAGCAGCTGGTGAGCTGATGAAGGAAAGGGTGGTGAGGTTGCCTGGGGTCRGAGGGGACTGGCTCGCTGATCCCAAGCGCTCCCTTCATTTCTCTTTTCTTCAATTATATCCTTCCTGCAGCTTTCTCTTGAACTTCTTACCATAATGCCAGTCTTTAAAGGGTCTGAGGAGAATGTTTGCATTTGGTTGATGTCTTACCAGATAGCCTGCATTAACTGCAGGACATATGTACTCTGGTTGGAGCATTTATACAGGCATTATTAGGCTAATRAGGTACCTAGAAATTACTTAATTGTGATGCACAGTAAAATTTAAAGGACTGACTGACCACGAGAGCACAGCCATAAGCTAATTAAAACATGTTGCACTTGGCATCGTTAGTGTAGCCTGGTGCAGTCACTGCCCCTGAGGAGTGGCCCGTTCCCAATGCAGAGGTGTGGAGGTTGTGTTTACCCACCCAACTGTTGGCTGTGTTCATGCTGTGAAACGAAGKGCACTAGGCCCTTCTGTGGTTCAGCACGCTGTGTGTGTATTCAGAGCACTGAGCATCACTGCACGAGTGACTCCTGTGGGGAAAAGGCAACACAGCAGTGCAGGCAGCTCCGTGATTCACCTTCTTCATTAGCAGCTGCTTGCTTGATCTCATTCAAAGACCATTTATTCTCTTGAGCACTACTACATTCTGCCAGCGTACCTGGGTCTCATATAAAACAGCAAACCCCCTTGTTTCCTATAGCAAAAAATTTTCTTTCGAATGTTTTAGACTCTGACATCTAAACTAATGTTGCTTGCTCATTTAAAGCACAATGTTGGAGTTTTCTTGTGGTTATGTAAACTTATTTCAGTAAGGAGAATCTGTGACTTAATATTCTGGCAATAAATATAACTGAGTTGATGCTTTTCTATTTTTAAACAATGAGATATTTTAAACTAAGAGGAAGTAGTGTCCCCTGTGGAGCTAGAAGACTGTTTTGCTCCAAAATTTTAATTACAGAAATTTTAATTACAGAAATCTCTTTCCTAGGGGAAATATCTGGTAATAGGTCCTAGGCTTCTCTGATAAGGAGCTGAGTAGCTTTAGACCTGCAGCTTTGCTCCAGGTCAGTGTCCTCCTCTGCTTTATCTTTCCCTTTGCCCAGCAGTGTTGGGTTTAGGGGAATTTACACTGTCAGGTGCAGCTTGCATAGGAAGGGGGAAAAAATAAAAAAGAAAAAAAGAAAATACCCCTAATAAGATGCAGCAAGGTGCTGCCTTCAGTTGCTCATTAATGGAGCCTCTGTTCTGCTTTATGCCCTTCTCTTTTTACTTGCAGCTCTAGAGAATTCACTGTTTCAGCTGTCTTTCATATCTGAAAGACCCTTGAATTTCCACGTTAGCTTTGGTCAGGCTAGTCCTTTTTTATGGACATCCAGAAGGGATGCGAAAGCTCAGTCAGTCTCGTTTCTATCCTGAGAAAGCCTTTTCTCTCTAAAGAGTAGAGTCAGCAAATACCCAGGGGTAAAGGTACAAAGAGGAGGCAAAGACAGTTGTGTAGAGAAGTTTGGCCCTGCTGATCTGTTTGAACATATACTTAGAGTTTATCTCATTGATGCAGGATTCCAGATTTTCTTATGTATTCATAAAGGAATCCCTGAAAAAAGCTCTTAGAGGTATTAAACAGTCACAGAATAAGGAAAAAGTYTAGATGGTTTAATTGGGTTAAAAAGGGAAACAAACAAAAAAAACAGAAAAGGGGAAAGTGAACAGTGAGAAGTAATCATGATGAATGGGAGGTTGCAAGAAGGATCTTGAAAGAAAAGGTCTTCTCATTTCATCTTCCCAGGGGAATGAGAGCTCAAGGCTATGGGTTAGAATAGGTTAATGGCAAATCATCTGCAGACTCAAAGGCGAAAAGGAATACAGGGTATGTCTGGAGATGCAGTAGGGAACAGAAGTGAAAATGGTGTCGTGGAAATCTGCAGTGTTCTGGCATGTTGAGGACTGTGTCTGGCTGCTTACTGCAGAAGGTGCATCCAGCTGGAAGTGGTTCCTAGAGAAGGTTAAGAGCAGAGACCCGGAGCAGCAGTACAGTGAAACATCAGTCTGTTCACTTTGGGAAAGAGCTGAGTCAGAGGKCAATAAAACGTAAGTCATGGTGAGTAAAATTGTGAAGATCAGTAGGAAATGRTTATCTCCTAGATCAAACTTAGCAGGTGATGGTGTCCTGGCTGCCCCTAAATGGAGTGATCTCCCTTCAACCTCTGA